TTATAATTTCTGTAATTGGCTTTTTAAAACCTAAATATACGTACAAGTCAATAAACATCATCAGTAATATAAAAAGCCTCATTCAACGGGTTAAATATCTAAATTATAAAGATAATTTTATTATTATTTTTATTGATAACTTCATCTAGACCAAAATTTCACTAGTAATTTTTTAGCATGTGAAGTAGGAGTAGGGATTCACTATTATCATAAAGTTTCATCAATACAGTTTTTTTTTTTTTTTTTTTTTTAGCGGGAGCACCAAGAGGATTTTTTTTAGCACTAAGGTTTCGTCTTTCGTCACCAAGCAAAAAAGGTTTCGTCTAACAACTATATATGACACTTGAAGAACAATAATAATGCTATCGAATCAATAAAAAGACAAGTTCAGCGCAAACACCAAAATACGTAATAGTGGAAAAGAAAATATGAACCCAAGCGATGAACATAATATTAATATATATCAAAGAAATCACAAATTATAAATATGTGCAATTATTTATTAACTGACGCTATGGGTTTTTATATATTGTACGTACAAAAGAAAAAGAAAATAAAAAATTATTTTTATTCTTCGGCCTCATCCTGTCCCTCATCCAAAATTCTTTCAAGACCCACGACGCTTTCAGATACGTTGTTAATAAGCTCGTTAAGCCTTCTGATCTAATTTTCAGATCATTGATTTATTATCAAGTAATAAAGACGTTAAACCATAATGTAGAAGGAAAAAGGAACTCACCGACTGCGCTTGTTCCAAAATTGTTCGTTTTTTATTTTCGATCTCACCAACTGCTCTTGTTTCAAAATTGGTCGTTTTTTATTTCGATCTAATTTATAAATTTAATTTATTATCAAGAAATAAAAAACGTTAAACCATGATATAAAAGGAAACTACTTACTTGTTTTGTGATAATTTGATCTTTGCCTGTGACGGTTTCTTTTAATTTAATAAGCCGATCATTAACTGTTTGTGCTTTACCATGCATATTCTTGAGACGGGTTACAGTCTTATATATGTACAATATATTAAATTATGATTTATTATCAATAAATAAAAAACATTAAACCATGCTGTAGAAAGAAAAACTATTTGCCTGTAAGTCTCTTTCAGCAATAGTTTCTTCTTTCGACTCGATTAATTTCTTTAGCCGGTTAATCCGATCAATGTAACCTAATATACAATAAATTTACAGTATAGCGTGAATACAATATAATAAGTATAATTACAGTATATTTAATTTAATACCTTTTGCTTTGCTTCCGATACTCTTAATTCGACTCTTCGTCTTATATATGTTAAAAAATATCATTTATTAGTAAATTTCGTAAACCTGAAAAACATGATAAATTAAAAAAAAAAAAAACCAACTTCTTTCTCAGATTATTCTTCCGTTCTCTGCGTTACCACAGAGACACCCAACGAGCCTGCCAACTTAAAGGGACTGACTGAATATTACCTTGCTAATTGACACCGGTGTGGGCGAAGGTGACGGTGGGTTCTTTTGTTTTTTTGTTTCTTCCATTACAACACGATAATATCAGATATTGAATTACTGAATTAATGAAAATCAATTAAATCGTATCAATTAAATAGTTGCAGTCTCATGAACCACAGCCAATTAAATTTCTTCATACCTACACGCGACATAGACGCGTGAGTAGTAAATACAAGTAGGGATGCGAGATTATACTATACCGTATTATACAATACCAGTAATAATAATCTAATTAATACAACCAATCAAATTGCTAATTTAAAAATTCACCATGCTATACAGTATAATACAATACATTACTTGGTATTATACTGGGCATTTTCAATATACCAGTATAACCGCATCCCTAAATACGAGACGCGTACCAACTGGTAAACGTATCCACTTATTTTGCGCGGGTAATACAAACCTAAAAAGGAAATGGAACACAAATTTTGGTTATTCCGGATCAACCCGACATAGAATCCGAACGCGTGTGAAAGAAGGAAAAAAGAAAAGAAAGCGAAAAACTCAAAAACTAGTGTTTAAATCGACCTTGGTGGACTAATAAAAATAACGGGGATGAAATTTTACATATAAAAATAACTTATTGCTGTAGCTCACAACCCCAACGTCCTAATACTAAACTTCTATTTTTACACACTTAGTTTATTTACAAAATTCGATTTCCTTTTTTGGTTTGTATTACCCGCGTAAATAAGTAAAATCGGCGCACGGCGCAATAACCTGAGGGACAGAAATTTAGTATTATTATTTACTAGTGTTTGGCACTTTGTGCCCATACCCTTAATGCTTTTCAGGCATGGGCATTTGTATGTCCCTAAAAATAATAAAACACGGATCTTCAAGAATAGCTCTAAATTTTAATTATGAAATCACCTACGGCCAGAGTTGGCAATGGAACTTGGTGGAGCTGCGAATGGAGTCAATGGAGCTCTGAATGGAGCCAATGAATACTAGTTTTTTCACGTAACCATTGACTCCATTGCCAACCCTGCCTACGGCCCAATTAAAAATGCTTTTGTGAAATTTTACTATAAATCTATGATGTTCTATAACTATGCACGGGTTTATAGCTTTAATTTTACAATTTTACACACAACATTTTTTCTTTTGAAAATAAACCATGTTTATTTCGATGATTATAAGTTTTGATGATCAAAAATTACTGTTCATATTACCTATGTTTTTGCAAACGTTTTACTTTATTGAAAAAATACGATTATAAATACCGTTAGGTAAAAACACATAAGTATTAATTTTAAATCTTTATCGTATTAGACTTAATTTAGATATTTTCTGAGATAAGGCCGAAATATTAAAAATTTAAAACCAATATTTATAGGTTTTTACTTTGATCAACTATATAAATAGATATATATAGCATATAGTATTGTTTAATTAATGAAAAGGTTTTTATTTAAATTTATAATTAACCAGAAGTAAGGTTACGTAAAGTTAATTTTTTGGTTCTTATAACCTGTTTTTTTTTTTAAAAAAAAACATCCGGATTCTAATTTTGTTGTACCCCGGATTGAAATCCTCCCGATTCACAATCCGGCTGCCCTGATTCAGAATCGAGTTACCCGGCTTCGGAATTCTTAAACAGAATATCCGGCTTAAGAACTATAATTATACTAACATACCAACCCTAACCCTAACATTACTTATTCTCAACTGGTACCCTGTTTAAAAATTCCAAAGCAGGTATCTCGATTCTGAATCAGGACAGCCGGATTCCGAACCGGGCAGATTCCGATCTGGGGTACGACATATTCATTATATTCATTTAATAAATATAATTCAAGTCTAAAAAAAGGGTTTGAAAGTCATATTATAACTTTGTGCAATAATTTTAACTCAAAAGATTGTATAAATGAAAATACTGACATTAAAAGTTGCATCGATTGTCACGTTCAATTTTTGTGGATAATAAATTAAAACGAAGGACAACCACGAACCAAAATTATGATGTCATTAAGAAAGCATGGTGGGCATAATTATTTAAAGAATAGTTGTTTATTGTTGTATTTAATCTTGTATCGTTGCATGAAAAATATTTTCATCGAGGCTATTATATTTAACGTGAAGAATTACGCTAGTGATTCTTCGTATACGTTCATAAGTTCGATTTTCTAATGAATTGTTTTTTTTTTTTGACTAGAGGACAGAACTGACAGAACTGGGATAATCGAAACAAGCACTGTATTTTCATTTCTATCATTCTTCTTTTGTTATTATTCAGAGATTTAAAGTTTATTAGCTTAATGCGGGCCAACCAATTGATTTTTATTAGAACTAACTTTACCAACTTAAGCTATTAATTAGGATTAAGTTTTACAGTATTATTATATATATTAGGCTAGAAGGGACTTCATTACAAAAAATTCTGAAATTCTCTGAAAGAATTCTGGTTTGACCAATAAAATTGCAAGATCAGGCGTAACATATCAATTTTGTGTACAATGAAAGGTAAAAATGCCGTTCTTGATAGATTGTCGATATTGTTCCTGATGGAGTTAAAGAAAAAAAATCGATTTACATACGTACGTACCGTTTCTGATAGATTTTGAAAGAGCCCCTAAGCGATTCTCATAGTAATGTCCATTGATACTTAAAACAGTTTGTGCTAAAAAACTTTCTACTCAATAACGAAAATCAATGGTTATGCATGTTATTTCCGATTCTTTTATATCTTTTTTGAATTTATGTTACAAATTTTTACGCCATTGCTTCGTTCGATAGTACGCAATATAGTTTTTTCTAGAACCCTATCAGGAACGGTACGTAAATCGTTTCTTTTTTTCATCCCATCAAGAACAGTATCGACGATTCATCTTTTTGCTAAATTTCTTATGTTTTTATTGATTATTAATTTAAATATAAGATACTGCATATACAAAATATACAGTATAGATGTACTATAAGTGCTTTGTAAAAATTCTATATAATACAAATAAATTATTAATTACTACAGTATAAAGTATTTCAATTTTAGTAATTTTTTGCAAATTTTATACCGACTTATTTTGCTGCTTTTATATGGAGTATTATAAATATACATTATATAGTATCAAAATAAATAATTTTATTTATTTTATATAAATTTAATATTTATAGCAAGGCTAAAAATAATATTTTATTTTGTTTATTTAAAAGTATTGTTATTAATTTGTTTAAGCATAATAAATCTTAATATACTACTTTATAAATTGTATATTGTTAAATAAAAAAATCAAAGCCTAATACAATATACAGTACATTATATTAAAATTTTTTAACAAAAAACAATATTTTATAACTGTAAGCTAAAAATATTTTAATATTAAAGTTTTAACAAAGCAATTTTGGATTAATACTATATACTATATATTTTAGCATAACATTAAATATATATTTTTATTGTATATATAGTATAATAGTAAAATATATACTTAGTATATAGATACAATAAATATACAGTAGCATTAAAATATTATACAGTACAGTTTACTGTTTATACTGTAGTAAATGCGTATACAGTATGTAATACTAATATATATTATCAGCTTTTAATATATTTATTACATACGTAACAAAATCATAAACAACATTTATAGGTTCTTAAAAAACATCGTATTCTCCTAAAACGACTCATAATTCTTGTCTCAGGTTTTTCAAAAATATTTTTTTGGATAATAAGTTAATATAACTTGTTACCGAATGCACTAACGAGATTACAGGATTATTGAGCAACTTCATATTCAGTGTAACGTTGCTCAGCATGACCAATCGCATTCGATCTAATTTTTTTAGTATAAATTCTTGATTTGCACATTCCATTTCTTTCACGACTCATTTTTTTCTTTACTATCGATTGAAATTATTTGCTAAAATTTAGGCTAAAAAAAATAGCGAAATCAAAATGGTTCATGATAATGGTGTTCACAATTATCTTGATCCAAAGGATGCTACGCAACATTTAGCGGAACATAATAAAGCTGATGGTTTATCCGTTGAAGAAGTTATAGACTCGCGTGCCAATGGAGGTTTAACTTATAATGACTTTCTTATTTTACCTGGATATATTGATTTTCCTGCTTCTGAAGTATCTTTGGAGACCAGAATCACAAAAAACATCGCAATAAAGACCCCTTTCATTAGCTCGCCTATGGATACAGTGACAGAAACCGATATGGCTATAAACATGGCTGTGAGTTAAATTCTATATTTTTAAGCAATAAAAACGTATAGAAATCATCTTTTTTAGTCGATATAAATGTATATGATATTTGATCTACAGCATGATACTGTGGATGTTTCATAGGCCACTATTATCTTTGAAAATCATTTTTTTTACCAATTTAACCTACTGACCTTGATGTCACGTGCATCCCTCATTATTAGTTGTTGGGAGGCGTTGGTATCATCCATAACAATTGTTCACCGGATGAACAAGCTGAGATGGTTAGGAAGGTGAAAAAATTCGAAAATGGATTTATCACAGATCCTGTATGCTTAACTCCTAACCATACCGTAAAAGATGTGCACAGGATCAAAGCTCAATTCGGTTATAGTGGCATTCCAATTACTGGTAAAGTAATTAATTATTTTCAAAAATTTTTATAAATATCACTCGGAGAAGAATATTTCTTTAAAGATTCATATAAAATGGATATGATGAATAAAAAAAAAATTATTAACTTTCGTTCTTCCGAATGGTGTACAATAAAGTATCCTTGTGGAAACTATGTAATCTGATCCAGAACTAGAATATAATGTTATTTTATCAATCAAAAAAAAAAAAAAAAACATATATATATTCAAGTATATTTATTCAATTCTTTTACGTGATATTATTGTTTCAATCATAGCAAACGGAAAACTCTACAGTATACTTCTTGGTATCGTTACTGCTCGCGATATTCAATTCCATGAAGATCACACCACATTACTTAAAGATGTTATGACGACCGATCTTGTGATAGCCCATGAAGGCGTTACTCTCGAAGAAGCTAATAAAATACTTAAAACTAGTAAACGTGGAAAGTTACCGATTGTCAATTCTCGTGGCGAATTGGTTGCATTACTGGCGAGATCTGATTTACTTAAAAATTTAAATTTTCCACTGGCTTCAAAATCTCCTCATTCGAAGCAATTGATTTGTGGTGCAGCCATCGGAACTCGGACTGAAGATAAAGCAAGACTTCGAAAGTTAGTTGATGCTGGATTAGATATTGTAGTATTGGACTCTAGTCAAGGAAATTCATCTTACCAAGTTGAAATGATACAGTACATCAAAAAAACATACGGTGACACGCTTGATGTTATCGCTGGTAATATCGTCACCCAGGAGCAGGCGGCTCGTTTGATTGAAGCCGGTGCTGACGCGTTGCGTGTTGGTATGGGTAGCGGTAGCATATGTATCACACAAGAAGGTTAATATTTCATTATTTAATCTATTTTTCTCTTGATCAATATTTATAATTAATTTTGTTTATGCTTTATTTAGTTATGGCGGTAGGTCGTCCTCAAGGAACAGCCGTTTACATGGTCTCTCAATTTGCCAAAAAATTCGGTATTCCAGTAATTGCCGATGGAGGAATTCAAAATATTGGTCATATTACGAAAGCTTTAGCTCTTGGAGCTTCTACTGTAATGATGGGTGGATTACTTGCTGGTACCGCTGAATCTCCTGGTGAATATTTTTATCATGAAGGTCAGAGATTAAAAAAATATCGTGGCATGGGCTCATTGGATGCAATGGAACGAAATTTTTGCGCTACAAATTCGAGTAGTAATCCTGCTGCAAATAGATATTTTTCTGATAGAGACGTTATTAAAGTTGCACAAGGTGTTGCTGGTGCTGTTGTTGATAAAGGTAGTATTAGAAAATTTGTTCCCTATTTAATGACCGGATTACAACACGCATTACAAGATATTGGAGTTAGAAGTTTAGATCAGTTAAATGAAAATGTTGAATCTGGTAAAGTGAGGTTTGAATTGAGAACTGCTGCTGCTCAAGTCGAAGGTGGCGTACATGGTTTATATTCGTGAGTATTGAATAATTTAAAGTACAAAAATATTCATGTAAATATCCATTACTGATCATTCCTGTTTTTATGTGTAAAGATTCGAAAAGCGACTTTATTCTTAGCATATTACCTCAATTTTCTTTCTTTTTTTTTTTTTGTTGAAATACATTTATGCATCGTTGGTTAAATCCATTATACAATATTCTTTCCTAATTTTTCACATCATTTAAATAAATTTTGTCTTCCAGAAAATAATTATTTCTCCTATCTAATTTTTTTGTTCAACATATATAATTTTATTATGTATATGGTTTTATAGAATATTTTAAATATATCATTACCATAGTAAGAAATAAATAACAATAGTTATCCCTAGAATTACAAAATTAGTGAAGGAAAAATATCTACTTTCTAATGATAATAATTAAAAGAAAAAAACAGGCAATGATAATGAAATCCTAGATCACTACCATTTAATAAATTACTATTATGATTATTAAAGACATTTATACATCACTTGTTGAGGAAGTGAGATGGATTGTTGATAACGCGTCTTTCAAAGTTTTACCTGATCCTATATAAATATGTTAAGTGCAATACTTAATAAAATAATAAATGAAGGAGACGAAATGTAATGAAAAGAGCATACCGTCTATAGAATTCAAAAATCTTACAAGTTCTTTGCATAACTAGTAAAGTGAAGCTTAAAATAAGTCGAGAGTTTATTGTATTTTACATAGTGTAATATTAAGAAATTAACTACCTCGTAATCTTCAGTTTCCATAGCTCTGGATAACAATCTTATGGTATCCTGAAAAAAATTTTTAAACCAAAATGATGTTCACATATGAAAACGAGAATCCAAAATTTGCAAAGAAATATTTTAGATAGTGAAACAATTATACAACCTTACTACTATCAGCAATGGGCTCCAAGGTGTGAAGGACAAGGAGATAAGATGCGGCAGTCTTAAGTAATCCAGTTTCCATACATTTCTGAGATGCAAAAATGAATTAGTCATTGATGGAAAAGTAATTACATTGTTTAATCAATTATTACCTCAAATAAATCTTTGGGACTGCCCACAATAGAAAACAAATAATTCCATAAGGCAACTTCAGTTTTACGCGCACATCCTACAATAGCATCAAGTGCGTGCGGGAAATGATTGATGAACTTTACAACACGCGGTAACACTACATATTTTTATGATTAAATATATAAAGTAATTTAAATAAATTTAACTAATACGTCATAATTTATACTATCAAATTTTACGATTTTGGGTCAAAATCCCGAACAACAGATTATCGAAAGAACATAACACCGACTAAATTGGCCAGCACTATAGCTAATGCCGGCTAACTTTGTCGGTATTATGTTCTTTCGGGAATCCGTTTTTCGGGATTTTGACCTAAATTCAAATTTTATTGTAATCAACTACCTTTTCCTGTTTCAACGGTATGTTCAGCTTCATCTTCCAAAACGTGATGTAAAAGCATTTCTAACGCATGCCCAAAATATACCAATCCTTGGTAACTTGTTGCAAAAGCGACCGATTCTTCTTCAAGACTGAAATGTTATTATAATCAATATTTATACTTTGACGATGTATAAAATAATTCAAATGTAATCACAATTGTAATATGTACTCTTTGGTTAGCATATAACGAAGGATGTGTTGTAAAAATAAATGAGTCTGTTGAATTTTGATTATAAATGTACATTAAATGTACATATCAGAAAATAAATATTATGCATTTGATTATGTCATACGTAAATAAAATAAATGATTAAAAAAAAAACTCACATTTGTCATTAATTTAAAAACGGTAAACTCGAGGGATTGTCGGAAAGAAGTTTGCTGTTGGACACCAACAATAATGCCTTTATCAAGCAACACAGCTAAATCAACAATGTTACATATATTCACGAAAATTAAATATTTATTTATATAATAAACAGATCAAAAAATTACTACTACGTTTAATATAATAAACTCACATAAAGGATAAAATTCCAATTTTATACGCAAAGATTCTTTAGTTGCTGATAGCAAAACCTCGGATTGCCAGTCTTTTGCACTTTCTTCGCTGGACCATATATTCATCCAGATCTAAAGAAACGTAAATTATTAAAATTATTATATAGGTCGGATTTCACCATAACTTTTTTTTTTTTTTTTTACCTTAACTCCTTGACTATCACAAGCCCATAAAGAATTTTTCAAACTGCCGATTCCCCGTGTGGACATCCAATAAAATTCAATTTTATCAGCGAGAATGTGTAGGTCATATTGTACTTCGCCTTCATCACTCTGAAAAGAAAATGAATATATATATGTCAATAAATATCGTAAACAAATCCAAAAAAATCATATTATTATTACTATGCCAACCTTTTTAGGATGCAACAAAACTAGTTTTCCATCAATAAGAAATATTATTGAAGCAGTCTGAATAGTATCCGGAGTGAAAGGCCCTATTTTTATTAATATATTATACATTGATCATTATGAAATGTAAAAGTTGTAAGCAAAGATAAACTTTAGAAATTAGTAGCACTTACTATGCAATTTTGGCTGGAACCATGAGATGGAACTAACCCTGGCTGGGGCGTGAATCACGCCAACAAAAGAAATTTGTTGGCACAATTCAACCGAGATTGATTTAATACCTCCATTGTCATGAGGTGATAATATTGTCATAATATAATGATACATCATATTATCTGCGCAATAAACAAGTAATGCATTATCCACGATGCTAAGATATAATATATTACTGGGTATTTTAATAAGTTGAATCATATGAATATTATCTAAGTTGGTTTCGCGCGAATACATTCTGATCTAATTAGAGAATAAATTCACTTTAATAACCAAAAAATTGATCATATACAAGATATAAATATTTTTGAATAAATTTAAAAGAATACAATACCTCATGCGTATGCGTTCTAACATTTTCACATGCAGCAACCAAAAACTGTTTGAACCACAATAATCCACCACGAACTGAAAATTCTTGTTCCTGAAATATTTAATTCAAAAGACAAACTCCGTAACTATAGAAATGATTAAATGAATAATAATTTAAATTTCAATCGTTGCAAACCTGCTGTTGGTTGCCAAATAGTTTCCAACGACCAGAAGAAACATTATAATGTGCTAATCCACGTCTTCCAGCAACTGCAATGTACCGACCATCTCCACTTATAGATGCATACTAAACATTTAAAATGGAAAAAGAAAATAAGTATGACAAAAAAAATAAGCTAAAAAAAGCCTAATAAGATATTAATACCTTTATGGGCCAATTTTCGCTAATATACATAATCGGTATCTAAAAAATATTATTGAAAGAAACAACGGTAAATACATTATTGGAATTTATAAGCAAAGAATTACTAATAAAACTAGTCCAATTAACTTAAAATTCTTTACATACAGGTATGTGTTGCCAAACTATGGTATCAGGATTAATGGCGCTAAGATCTTCTTGATCACCGCCACGGTAAAGCAATAAACGGTCATCCATTTGTAAAAATCCTCTTTTTGTATTATCCTATTAAAGAAAATTCGACAATTTGTTACAATTTAGACAAAGAAATAATTAATACATTATATTATATTACAAACTTAACTGGACTATGGATCGTCGTTACAGCGGATTTGGCAAATGGTAGAGTATATAATTGTCCTTCTATAGCACAAAAAGTTCTCTTATTATTACTTTATATTACTATATAAACATCATATAAAATATTTACCATTTTCAGACTTTGCGTTATGTAATAAGAAGAGTTCACAATTTCCAGAACTCCAAAACTAAAAGATAGGAAGGGATAACATTTCCTTATATATATTTTATTTTGCCTAAAGGAAATAATAATAATAATTATATTCCACATACCAAGTCATTAATACCATGTAAAAATGCATCTTTGCTTGCCGAGCTTTTATGATATAAAATTAATCATAATTATTCTACACTCTAAAAAAAAAAAAAAAAATGAATAGGGACTTATTCGTATTCTACACATACATCGATTGTGGCAAATCATTTCTGACAGTTGTCATCAACAATCGACCATAAACACTCCAAACGGCCATTCCTTCATCTTGCCACCCCACAGCAATGGCATGGCCATCAGAAGTCCAAGCAAGTGACGTCACAGGACCTGCGGAGATAGGTGCTTCAGAGTTAAGAATAAAAATTTTTGACACTTACGAATAAAATTAATATAATAAATTAGGTTTATGAAAGGATATTAAAAGATTCCAAGTGTTCACATATAGATAATTTATGAGAAAAATAAATGCCGCCATTATAATTCTTAGCATAGTATACATAGACAATTCCTCTATAAAACATTTCAGATTAAAATTATATAAGCATGTAAATATACAAAAATAGTAAGCATTTTTGGACATCATTACTGACCAAGTCATCTTTTCTTTGCTAATACACATATATCTATTAAATAGACTAACCCTTCAGTTCCAATAGCAATTAAAGAGAATTTTGCATTAATAGCTATACAAGTGGCACGATTCTTTGAAGCAGGTTCAAGATCACCACTTGCGTGGAAACAATATCCGGTCCAATATAAAGGGGGAGTCTTGGCAACATTTTCCTCCTATTTATATATTAAAAATAGGATATAACACCTTATAGAAAACATATTACAAAATAGCCAAATTTTAAATACATACAGATGTATCATCATTTTCATTAAATTGTACAACGTAAGCTTTTCCATCTGTAGTTAACCATCCAAAAAGATCAATCCGTCGGTCAAATACGATTAATCTAATGGTGGCTATATACAAGTAAATCATAAAGTTTGTTAAAAACTAATTATTTTACCAAAAAATAAACGTGAAGCCGGCACCTGAATGCTCAAAGACAGTATTTATTGTCGCGACTGATGCTGAAATTTGGGGTCGCGATTTAAAAATATAAGACTTGCCATATATACTCATTAATTATCAATTCTAACCCTAAATCCTAATCCAACCCTAAAAAAAAAACACCCAAAAATTTTTAAAAATTCAGACCCTAAATCCTAATCCAACCCTAAAAAAAAAACACCCAAAAAGTTTTAAAAATTCATATCAAAATATGTCCAAGTTACGGCATCAGTCATTTCAACACCAGCCGCGACATTTATTAATTCTCCTAAGTTCTGATTCTACCAATAAGGTGGCATTATCAACTGTAACGTGAAAATTAAAAAAAAAAATTGTAAAATTATCCTAACCAAGATATCACATTTTAAATTAAATGTGACATGTAAATAGTTCGAAGCATCCGCAATTTTGCAATATATCTACTCTTATAAGGGAAGATGGTTCTAATGATATACGTTTTGAATTCTCTTCACAAACTTCACGCTCAATAACCCAATAGCCGAACATTCAAAATTACAAACCTTCCTTAGACTCTAAAAATTCCAACCGAGCCAATATATTTGTTTTTGTTCCACTAGGTTCACCAATCCAAGGTATGCATTGAATTGCAGGAGGAGTTTTTGTTGAGACAATCAAAAATTCGTCCGTTCCAATTCCTCTGTTCAACAAAAAAAGACAATTTAAATGTGAATAAATTATAGTGATATACAATAGATAATTGGACGTCCAATTCAACATGCAATTGTGATTATTGGACATTAGGTTTTGAACTCTGATAAATTTGATTGGTCAAAATTAAATAGCATTGACAATTTAAAGTCTAATCAATTGAACCTTGGACATCCAATTTTCAATCAAAATTATTTAATTTGGACGTCCAATGTCCATTGGATCATTTTGACATGACAACACTGAATATATGGAAATTTTTCATATAAATGAATCAAAACTTAGACATAGCTCAAAAGCAAAGAGAAACATACTCACGCCTCCATTCCAGCATCAATCCTAATGGTCATTCTAAATTTTAGCAAAAATGTTTTTATTCCGTTGCCTTCTCCTGCACCAGAGACATAATGATGCGATACACGACCAAATTGATATTTATAACTTTTATCATCGAAGGGAAGAACAGTATAAGTGAATAAGCAATTTTGATTTGTCTATATCGAATTCAGGAATAATTAAAATTTACATATTAATTAATTTGAGCGGTATGTAAGAATGAGAATTTTCATGTTCTAACGGACAACTTACTTGAACAATTATAAGGCTCCCATCGGGCTTCCAAAAAACATCGATATTTTCACCATATTCCTCAATTGATTTGGTGGTTCTAGATACTTGTGATATTAATGCTGTAGGCTTTATATTGCAACATAAAATGGAATAAAAAAGGTATACATTATCATTCACCAATAGAAGCTAGCCAAGCAGAGTTAAAATTTTCTTTCCTCGAATTCGAAGTGTCACCTTATTATTGCCTTACCCTAAAACCCCATAACTGTACGGAATTTTTAGTCAAAGTGACAAACAAGTTTCCAAGTTTGTTGCGCTTTAGTTTCAAGATTGCACTTGAGTGGCCAGCATCAGAGCTTTGATCTGTCGTTTTCGAATCATTAAATTTACTATAGTCTGGCGATCGAACCTCTAAAACTTTCGCTATACCACTTGCCCAGTACATTACCAACTGAAATACAACCGATGCGCGTCTTGAAACTAAAGTTTATTGTTAATTTGTTTATTAAAAATTTGATACTCTTAACACTTCAATTAATTACCAGTAATTAAATTGCACTCGAATCATATGTTAAATATCCAACTTTTGTGACACACAGATTACAATTCCCCTGGACCATTACTGGACTGGACTGTCCAGTCCCAGTGGAACCTTATTAACCAATAAAATTTTGTTATTTCGATTGTGAATTGATAGATTAGACTGGAACTGGACTTAGGGTGTTCTCAAGTAGCACACTCAATTAATTAGATAATGATCGTAATGGTGCTCAACCGTTATGTAAAATTTAA